GAGGTCAAACCATCCCTTAACGGGGCCCTTTTTCACAAGATCTGTTTCAAAGGCTCAAATTTGACTTCTCTTCCTTCCATGGACACAGCCTAACGCTGGTTAATATCAAAAGGAAGGATGAATTGGACCCACATTCTCGTCATCCATCTGGAGGTGAACCATCTGTCATTTCTTACCACACAAGGAAGAAGAGCTGCATGTTCACAGCAGGCTAAGTGGCAGCAACAACTGCTGGAAAGAGCCTGTGGAAAGCTGGGGAAAACAGTGACAGAACTTGTAGGGGAAAAGGAGGCTGGGGAACAAAGGCATGGCAGAGGAGGGGTGAGGAAGCAGAGACAGTAGGGAGAACAGTCCAGAAAGGGATGTACATAGGTGTCAAAATGTTTCTCTGTGGTTCTGATCTCATCACTTTTTCTGTATAAATCCTTCACGAACGAATCTCTGCAGGGATTCCCCTTGTGATGGCTGTAGGGAAGCTCTATAACTGTCCCCCTGAAGATATACCTCCCTGCCAATTTCCTACATCCCATAAATCTAGAATGCCCAAATAAGAAGTTAGGACCATCCAAAATGAAGGACTAAACAGCATTAGGACCTACAAACTCCAGCATCACAAGCACTGGGTGTACAATGGCACAATTCTAACAGCTCCCATTTACAAGGTTAAAGAAATAATGATTCATGAGACTGGCTGACACCTGGTATGATTTAATCAGGCCATCTCTAATGTAAATGACATTGACTCACATTTCCAGATGTAGGTGGAACTGACAATTGTCTTTTCCTCATAAGTGTCTTAACTTGCTTTGCTAGTTAGAAATAGTTTTCTAGGTTATTTCCAATCTGGTAATCATTAGAGGTAAATTCTTTCCATAGATGTTTGTATTTATAGTCAATGGGAACATCTAGGACAGGATCTGACCTACAAACGTAAATATGTAGCAGCAGCCTCAATAGAAAAACTGTACTTGAGTCTGAACCAGAACTAAAGTAAGATTGCTCGATATACACATGTGTACACAAAATTTAAAATATGAATGCACAGATTGCAGCAGGCAAGATTTTTGTGGCTTTTTTTCCCCCCGCCCTTTAAGAATTTCTGATTGCTTGCCTTTAAGTAATCTTTTAATCAAATTTAAAATAATGACATTCTCACACATAATGGAGGAAAAAAGCAAACTAAGTACTACAATTTTTAAAATGTTGGAATTTTCTAAAAAGTTTAATGGAAAATAGTATATGGAGAGGGAGAAAGTAATGAAGTACCAGTCATCTCCCATTGGTTTTTCATCCAGCTGTGTTTATAGCCTTTGTCTCTCCTTTGATTTCCTCCCTACCTTTCCTCTCATCCAAAAAAGTTCTTAGACCATACTCCTCTTTCTGGCTATCTGCCTGTTCTTTCCCAAGACATGGACTTGTTCCAGACCCTTGCAATTAAACAATACTCTGTGATGTTAAAGTGATGCAAGCTGACCGTAGTTAAGCTGACTGCAGTGGAATGTCATGACTTTGACCACAAAGATTTGACCCAATTGCTGTGACCTGACACACTTGCAATCTAGTACAGCCTGAAGTCTCAAAGCAATAGCCCCTGAAACCACAAGATACTTACATGAAAGCTGGAAACTAAGCAGAATAAAACTGAATTAACCCCAGGAGAAAGGCACTCCAAAAAAACCCTGTCATTATAGTACACAGTTTGTTAATACACACTTACTTTGCTTGTTAGAAGACGTTGAGCGAGATGGCCACATGCTTTTTAAGAACAGAAGAATTAATGCAGGAGGAAAAGACAGAGCTGACTATATCCTCTTCTGAATATATATATTAGGGACATAATGCAGTCTGTGTGCTGACTGATCAGCATGTAGCAAAGCTCCACTGCAGTGCAAAGTGGTGGTAAGGCGGTGTGCAGTACTTGAACAGGTCCATGCAGTGTTCTGCAATTCTGCCCTTAACAACGAGGGGTTACACTGCAGTAGCTGAGGCAGCTATAGAGGAAGGTAGGGAAACATTTAATGCTGTCAACCTTTATGCTTAAGATCCACATCTGCAAATCTTATGCCGCATGGTTTTTTTTTTCCTGGTGATCTTGCAACATTAATAATATAAGGAACTCCTGGTTTTGTTTTTTTCCACTTGTATAGTATCTATAGAGCAGCCTTTAAAATTTTCTTCCGCACACCTTTAAATACCAAAGCAACATTTCCATTAGCACCATTGGGTGGAAGATTGCACTGACATGGAACATTTGCACCTGTACATTACTGCAATCATACTAAAAGTCACAGTATTTATTTCCTGGAAGTCAAACAACAGGTAGAAGATAAAGCAAGAAAAACTGTCAAATTTCACTAAAAAAAAAAAAAACAGAAAAACACCCCGAAATGCCAAAAAAAAAAAAAATTAAGCTACTTGGCATTGCTCATTGGCTTTCTCTGTAATAGCTCCTGAAAGCTGCATGTAGAAACTTGGAAAATATCACTCCATAATAGTCCAGGATCTCATCTAGCATAGATTCTCAGCTCCATGTAGAGCTACACTATATTCTTGCATGGATACCATCCAGAATCCTGCATAATTTTTGGACTTGTTTTGCCATTCTGTCAGTACCACTTCTCTGCTCTTGATGCCAGAAGACTTCCTGGCTTAGAATATGAACACAAGAACAGCTGTAGAAGATAACAAATTCCATTTAGCTCTGTATCCCATCACTGCAGGCTGCTGAAGAAGTGCTATAAGAACAGGATGGAAAGATGAAGTAATACTTCCCCAAAATGAGCACTCAATCTCTAATGTCATGGTTCAGCGATTGCTCAACTGGGTGGGGGGGAGCGGGGGAAGAAAAGTAGTGCCATGTGCAGTGCCAGTTACCAGCTGCCTTCCTCGCTTTCCAGTCTTGTAAAACTTGTGAACAAAGCTTCTGTTTCTGCATCTTATCTATTTTTGTCTCCTTCACTGTTTTTCACTACCATTGAGAATGAGAATTCCTAAACTGAAAAGCAAATAACGTGCTATTTCTGGAAAAAAAATCATTATCCAAACGCAAGAATATTCCTTATAAATCTCAGCAGCTCAGTGTCCTTATTCCAAAAGAGAAGTCATGGATAACCACATGATCAATTTTTGCAAGCTAGGATCTAGAAGTAGACTTAAAATTAACCACTTGGGGCCTATCTATCTATAAGGCCAAATTAACTGTCAGATTACTTTGTAAATTGCTATCTATTCCAAGTTCATTGCTTGTGCGTAGATGTAAATAAATGTATACTATCTAGGACGGTGATGAATCGTGACTAACTGTACCCTGTGAATTCAGTCCTGAATACTTTTTTCTAATTAAATCCTTTGTTCTGTTAGCAAGTTCCAGGAAGTGATTTCTGTAAGTTAGAACAGTCAAAATGTGTTGTTAGGAATCTGAATTAACTATTTTTTTCCCAGAATACTGTCTTCTATGCTCTTAGGAGCTCAAGCTGCATCTCCAGTGGAAAAATGGACTCAAACAAAAAGGTGGGCTTTGCTGTGACCACCATTATTGATAATCCAAAAGAAGTTATTTTAGATAAGACTCTTAACTGGACTAGTCTGATATCCATTCTAGTGTTCAGAATAAACAATTCTCTCCAGAAGTGACTAGCATGCAGGCAGGGAGAAATTAATGAGAACAGCATTTTTAAAGCTTTAATCTCTGACAGAAGTTCGGGGGGTGGGTACAGAGGTGTGGAATAGCTGTAGGGGAAACAAATCATGAGAGGGTCCGTAACTGCTTTTCAGAGGCAGATCAGAGAAGAGGCAACTCCAAACAATGTTTTCACTGAAAACATACGAGAGACGAAAATACAGAAGCAGCAGTGGTAAAGGAGCCAGGATACAGGCTCCCAAGAGACTTCCCAGCCCAAGGAAACAGCTGGAGGGCTTGCTCCCTCTACTGGAGTATCCTGATAGACCCACGAGAGACTTGCTACTTAGACCCACTTTTAAGTCCACAGCAAAGCTCTGGAACTAGGAAATAAAGATAAACGCAGGGCTGATTACCATTGCTGCCTTACTATCACCAAGACTTTTGAAGGACTGAGTATGTACTTGAATACGCAGATGAAGGCAGAGGGGAGTAAGCTATTTCATTGCTTTTGTTTTGAAAAGAAACAAAATAAGGCACACAAGCTGAAATCTGTATTTTTCAAATTATATCAGTTCAGTCAAACTGGAACATAGGAGAAGGAAGCAGACCTTTTCAGTGTCTCATGTAATGCAGAAGAACAACTCTTGTTATACGACCTTTGCTCTAGGACAGATTACTCACCATCATTCCGGTAGCCACATGTAAAGCAAGCCACCTGCCTTCTTGAGCTGTAAATTCTTGTCCAGTACAGCCCGGCCTTAAATACTTTGGCTTATGAATAAATAGGCTCTTCCTACAGCAAACAGAGAGTAAACCTTTCCTAAAGTATCTTCAGATGAACATAATATCATCACTTAGTTATTTAGTGTTTATGTTGGATAAGTCATAGTAGCATGATGAATCTGGACATCAAGAAACTGTGACTCAGACACATACTAACACAGCTCTACTCCTGCTTGCAATGGTTTGTGGCTGAGGCTCCTCTTTCTCTCTTGTAGAATTATGGTCAGCTTTGGGATCTGAGACACCCCACATAGCTTTGGACAGTATCTTGCACCTTACAACCCAGCTTTCTGTCTGCTAAATGAGGGTTGAGAGTGCCTTACTCCTTCATGCCTTTTTATAACTTAAGTTACATAGCTCTGGTGTGGAATCTGCCTCCTCCTGCATATAATGTCCAATATTTGGTACAAACACCTTCAATTTTAGTTGCACCTTATAAGCATAACTGTAAAAGAGTAAAATATTTGACTAAAAACTCAGCTAGATGTAAATTAACGGTTTTGTAGCCCTTCCAGTTTAAACAGGTTCACATTTTACATTTTTTTTGTCAACTCAGTGAACACCTTGGTCTACTGGTGATCACCTTACAAATTCAATGGAGGAAATGGACAAGCAGCCCTGCGGCAGTGACAAAGAGGAACCTTTCAAAAGAGAACTGCCATACTGTATAGGAGAAATAGACTTCACAGCCGCTGGGAAGAAACGTGGAAAGGTACAGCACTGAGGAGTTTTAAGCCTTTAACACTATTGTTGTTCTTCAGCTATTACTTCTTAGCATTAAATGTAGAGACTGTAATAATGAGGGTCAATGTGCCACAGTGCAAGGCACCACATTGTACTCAAAGTAGGGACCATACCTTCCTGGACATGAAAGTGATTTCAAATAAGGCCTATTAATATACAGAAATTAATCACTTGACTTGCACTAACATGCTACAAGTACAGTTGCTCACTTTTTCCTTCAAAAAACAAACACACTCATGTGCCCAGCTTCCTTCATTTTGCATCTTTTTCCTGTTTTAACCTCTTTCTCACAAAAATTAATCACTATGGATTTCAACATTTTAAACATACTTTTGAGCCTCTTCAAGACTCTCTTTGAAGTTCTCTCTTTCTGTTCTGCTAATATGTAGAGAAGGATGTACATGGATCCACCTCCTCACTAGTCCTCTGTACAGAGTGTTAGAGTAGAAGGAATTCCTAGGATCAGAAATCTGCCTTAGGATTTTGTTTCATTATAAAGTCTTAAGCACAAAGCCAAAATATATACAGAACAGGAAGAAGTGATAGATTCATATAATATGTTCTTGAAAAACAGACATGAAATCAAGGAAATACTTCAGCTAGTGCAGAAACAAGAAAATCCTAAGAAATGTGTTGGCTTTACTAGACTGCCATGGAACTGAAGGCAGTTCAAGAGGAATAGCAGCATTAAAGGACAGAATGATATGTCAATCTGCAACACAGAATTAACCCATGGAACCAACCCAATTAGTGAGATGACAATTCTATAGAAGCCTGCTAAATTCATCCTGGTATTTAGTTCTGTCAGGTCTTGCTCAAATAAATTTTTCTTAAATAACCAAACCAATAATAAATTTCCTTATGCATTCACCATGATCAATACCTCTACTGTATCCTATTGTCCCATTGTTATTTAATATTTTTTTGTTTGTTTGTTGAAGTTCATTAAGGTGCCATGTACCATTCATCCTGGAATTATATTTGAAGTTATGCTGAATACATGGAAGTTACCTGCTCCCAATTTGGTTGTCTCTCTAGTAGGGGAAGAAGAAAATTTCCAGATGAAGCCTTGGCTACGAGACACCTTAAAAAAAGGACTTATAAAGGCAGCTCAAAGCACAGGTTAGTGCTTTATACTTTAAAGAACAAATTTATATTCCTACTGGATTCTCACACATAGCATCCAGTGTTTTTTTTTTAATGTCAATGAGTCTGCTCACATGATTATTTTTGGAAGTTCAAGGCTTTGCTGAATGTAGCCTACAGTCTGTATTTAAATAGCATTGAAAGGGAAAATTACTGTATTAGAAATAGCAAAAATAGGCTATTTCAAACCAAATTACTCTAGGCAACCATTCCTGAAGTGTAAGATTACCTGAGGTTATTCCCTCAGAGTTGACACTAAAAAATAGCATGAGATGGGACCAAATACATTGTCCCTCTTTGGTGCCATAGCAAAATAATTTTTTAAAAGCATGGCAATTTGACTTCAACAAGAGTCAGTTTAGGTCAAAAATAATAATTTTTGTCGTCTCCATTCTCACTTTTTAGCTACCAGTCAAAATCATGTTACAATAGTTTTTTTTCTTCAAATCTAAGAGTTTAACAGACTTTGTTAGTAAAACAGGCTATGATTAGACTCAAGTTTAAACAAAAAGCCCTTGGTAATGTACAACACAAACGTCTAACATTAGCAGAAAATAAGTCAGCTCACTTTCTCCCTGGCTATTCAAATGAATGACAAGAGTAGTGAAAAGCATTTAAACTAAAAACAAACAAATCAATGTGTGGGAACACGCATGGAAGTGGCTTTCATTTAAGATGATCATCCCCCCTAGATTTATGAAAATACCTGCAAAATAAAATGAAAGTATCTGTAAGCATTTCACAGCAAGCTCTTGGTTTAGCTCCACTGGTTCAGACAAGATTGTAACAGTTTTACTTCTTGTAATGAGCCAAGTACCAAAGCTCTTTTTGGTACTTTTGTATGACACAGATATTCTCTATCTCCAGCTGCCTTCCATACTTAAGACTGGATAGCATCAAGATATCCAGTTCCATTATGTTACATATTTGAAAAAGTTTGGTTATTTCTTTACCCAGGGTTCTCAAAATTCTTTGTCACCATAACAACACTGCTGTAAATCCTACTCTCCTCAAGAATTCACTCTCCAACACACATGAGAACGAGAGAAAGAACATCAGATTAAGCAGGCTATGCGCAAGCTCTTCTGCTACCAGGTTATTGCATGGAACTGTTTAGTCCTCAGTTCAAGCCAGTAACTTCCTCCACCCTGTCCCTTTGCTCTTCCTTGTGTAACAGACCTGTGTGGTACAATGATGTTTCTGCTCATATTTAGACAGTAAGTGACTCTAGACTGGACACAGCATTCTTGATGGGTATATTGACATCGAGTAAAGATGGCTGTGTTGCATCACATGATATGCTAAGCATGTTTGCTTGGGCGTATAATTTCTTCTTGCTTTCCTTATTAAAGCCTTATTTACTTTGTATGTATTTTAATTCTAAAAGTTACAGTCCATCAAGACCTGTCTACTGTTTATCTAATTTAAAAAACCTTAACTCCAGTACTGCAAGTAATGGTACTTGACACACAAAGATGTTCAATTATAAGGAAATTATCTAACCATTTTTAAAAAAATAATTTCAGATGCCTGGATTTTTACCAGTGCTTTACGTGCGGGAATAACAAGACATTTAGTACAAGCAGTCAGAGATCATGCACTGGCTAGTACTTCATCCAAAGCAAGAGTGATTGCCATAGGAATAACTTCACTCAGAAAAATTCAGCACAGAGAAATTCTGGACAACACAAAGGTATTTTTTGCTTATTCTACTCGTGAGACAGGGTTGTTCAGAAGTAAGCTGCACCTTTACAAAGTTTTGAAGTAGTAGGCAGAATTGATCTAACTGAAAAAAAAAAAAGTGGGATTTTGAGGGAAACCAGAAATAGAGCAGAAAGAATTGTTAGACCCTAATGATTCTGTGCCCTGTGCACATTGTACTAGGCTGCAATTCTCCAAATATCCAGCAGGTGTCAGCAATAAGACATTAGCTCAGCGACCAGCGTAAGGAAGGGTGAACGTCAGGGAAAAAATCATGCATCACAAGCTACCTTTAATATTTTTTTCCCTTGTCTACTAACTGCAGAAGCACTTAGTCCAAGCTATTTCATAAATACTGTAAAAAGTATATTTTCTAGTATGGAACACAGGCCATAAATATTTCAAGACCAAGTGTTTTTAAGTAGTCGTTGAACTGGTGTCTAATATGCAAAAACTTTTTAATGCTCCAGGCCAAAAACGCTAGCCATGCAGGATTTTGTCTAGTTATTGGGAGCTCTAGGGAATTCACAGTTCAGGTCAAAGCAATTGAAGTTCATGCAAAAACAAACAAACAAACAACAACATCACACAACAAAACTGTTCCTGAAAATGTCAGCACAAGTTCACACTGAACTGACCTGGAGATGGAGAAAAAAAAAAAAAATATGGCATGACCTTCTTCTCACAGCATATATTCTGCTTAGGACAGACAGTATTATAACAATAACGTATGTATGTAATGACAATGAATGATAGTTCCTCTGTGCTCTTTTACTTTCCTGCAGAATCCAAGAAACAAGTGACAAACATAGCCCTTTGAACTCACACCTAGTTCTCTGAGATAGGCTAGCAAGTACCAGCTAGCAGCTGGGAGACCATATCAGCAATGTATTGTCACCAAGCTTCCCCTTTTTCCATCTTTTTTGCCAAGGACAGCTACCTGTGTGCTCTACCAGGTGGGACTCTAGCTGGAAGACTTTAACCTATTTGTGTGGCTGAACTGCTCCAAAAGGACCGCAGGGGAAAGAATTGGGTTCATTGCATTTGTGAATTTTGTTCAGGAAAGTTGCTTTGGCGAGTGCAAACTAACTGTTTTGCCTCCCTCCCAGGCTAAGTGATTAAAATGCATGCATATCTTTCCCCACCAGCAGCTACAAAGCAAGTGCACTGGTCTTTTTATTGCATTAGATTTTCTCTTCTTAACTAAAGCCCAAATTCTTTGTCAAGCAGTATTTTGTGTAGAGCATTCCTGACCCTATGACTTCTGGCACTGCTTCCACCCAAAGACAGTCTGGATTTTAGTCAGCAACTTTAAGACAAAGGAACTATAGACAGGGATGTTGATCTAAACCCACTTCTCCCTATACTTGGCACTAACACTAGCAGCTTGTTGTGTAAAAGAGAGCTAACAGTCCACACTAGCAAGGAAAAAAAAACCCAAGCCTTGAAATCAGTGGATCCCTCCCACCTCTTCCGTGTTAATGGTATGCTTTAAACATCACTGAAAGATCACTTCCACATTTTCAGAGAATAAATAGAAAAATCCCCAAGGGCCTTTTTCAATTGGTTGTTCTGTGTCCAGCTCCTAATCAAAGGCCAGATCTTTGGTGAGCAGGCTTAATGTTACATGGCAGCAGAATACAGGCACACCCTCTGTCAAAACAAAACTTGAAGGCAAATTAATTGTGTCAAGCAGCTTTCCCCAACAAATGAGAGACAGAGAAAAGGAGGTAAAAGGAAATTGCAGCAGTTGTTATTTTTAAAGGACATGCAAATTTACTGATTTTTTTTTCCTGGAACAGCCTCTGATGTTCCTACTCTTTCCAGAGCTGCTGGCAGGGAAAGAAGTCATAGGAACATGCCTGACTATAGCCTTTTCACCTTGCTTTGAAGGAGGTTTTTCTTCTCCAGTTTGGCTGTGTGCAGCTTCATTTCAGAAAGCCACTTAGGGGCATGCTTAACTCTTCTACCTGCAGCATGAAGGAGCTTGTCCTCTGGGTTACTTAACGTTTTTATGCCTTAATAGTGCTGCTATGAGCTCCTGGTGATATGTTCACCACTTCTCCAACATCAGCCTTAGCCTTGGCTGTGGAGAAGAACCTGGATAACTCCTAGGTTGGACTTCTCCCAGGATTCAACTGGGCACCTGCTTTTCCTAGCAGGCACTGCCAAAAGCTGAGATTAAGAAAGGCTCTACATAAGATCTGGCTCTTAAAAACCAGAAGATAAATCTCACTGCCATACCTTGATGACAACTAGGTTACTTGCATGGTTACACTGCTATGTCTCAAAAGGCTTTAAGACCTGTCTGTGTCCATGAAATTAGTGGGAGGAAAATGCAATACACAGGCACAACAGCCAAGCTGACAGTCTGAGTTTTGTTCTGCTCAAAGGCTGCAGGAAAGAGGCATGATAAAAGGAAATGCATATTTTAAACAATTGCTTTAATCTGGCTTACTTGCAATAGGACAATGATTATGAAGATGAAAAAGAAGAATAACCAGGCATTTACAGCCTGGCTTGCAGCTAAGAGTGATATGTCAAAGTGGACGTGCAACAGTGGGGAAGCAAGATTTATTAAGGAAGGAAGGGGAGCTTGAAAAAGTGTGTGGGTAGAAGACCATATGTAGTGCAATCCTTAGAACAAAGGGCTAGCAGGGGTTCTGTTTTACCCAGACAGTGATTTTATGCAAAAATTAATTAATAAATTATTTCAAGATACAACATCCTTTACCCAAAATAAAAGATAAGATTGCACTTTCTAAATGTCTGCCTGTCACTCACTGTTTTAGAATGCAGTTTCCAAACTGAGAATAACCATTAGACCTCACATAACCCTGTCAATTAAATAAAGCCACATTTAAACTGATAGAGACATATAGCAGGCTAACTTGGGGCTAAACATGGACAAAACACTACCGAAATGAGTAGGTTTGCCCCTGTTTATACCAGCTGAGACTTTAGCCCTCCAAGACATTACAGCTTCATCCACAATTATCAAGTCTCATGGCCCCTTTCCACTTGTCCAACAAACATTTCCAAAACCTCTGAATGAATGCCTACATTCCAGAAATGATGACTGTGATGTCACTGTATTTTTGCAGAGCCCAGGAGGGAAGCTTCAGGAACTTCAGCTTCCAGTCCTGTCAAGTCTGGCACCTTTCAGAAGGGAAACATTCTCTTTCTCTACCCTTTTCAAAGAGTCTATTCAAGTGTCTCAAAGGTGGCATGCTATGTCATGGTGCAGACACCGCAAAAATGTAGATGAAGCATATAAAATCATGGACTTTTTTTTGTAGAGGGCACTAATATCTCTCCTCCTTTCTCTAGAATGAGAGTCTTGTACACTACCAATCAGATGATAATATCCAAAGCCCACTGTATTCCCTGGACCACAACCATTCCCATTTTATTTTGGTGGATCACATAACACCAGATGAGCCAGATGGAACCACTAAACTACGTCTCACCTTGGAAAAGCATATTTCAGAGCAGCGTACCGGGTATGGTGGTAAGTAGCCTCTATATAGGCATGCTAACTTGAATAATACTGATGTTACAGTGATAGTGGGCCCCGGCAAGTCCAAGTCTCAAACTGGACAATCATCTACATAGGCAAGATCAAGTAAACATATCTGTCTTATATAAGAGGCAGAACTAAGGTGACTTCTGAAGTTGAGAAAGCTGCTCTTTGAACCAAAAATCCTGACTTTTATTGCATGTCCTTAAACATAGCTCAAAGCTGATCAAAGCATAGTTCAAATTGCCTTAAAACACAACAAGTGGAAAATAAATCCAGCTTTAAGTGTTTTAGCCAGTGGTTTCAGGAGATGGGTGTTCATTGTTGTATGCTTTTATCCCCTCTCACACACAGGTTCTTGAACTGCTCCCACACTGGAAGAAAATACTTGTTCCAAAGCTCTCTGAAATATTTTAAGCCATAGTTATTTCAGGATAAAATCTTACCTGGGTAAACAACATAGCATCTAATGGTTATCTAAATCTATGTGATATTTGTTTATAATGAGAAATGAGTATTGGGCAGGCCTCCTACTGCTAGTTGTGGAAAGAATTCAGTTGTACAATTACTTTTACCTTTCCTTTGTTTCCCTAATACCTGTAGTGCTAGCACAGCTGAAACAGAAGGGAGAGCTCCCTTATTCACATTTGTATGCATCAGTGGAATATTCAATTACATAGCCCATAGTATGGTTGCACAGATGTACTCAAGAGCATGAATGCGCCTGAAGAATGCTTATCTGGTGACTCAGATAGGAAAGACCACAGGTGGACTGTAATGGTAGGCTGAGGTTGCAGTGCTGAGAGTTAGAAAGTAGCCTCTTTCTGCTTGCAAGGCAAACTTGATTGAAAAAATCTTAGTGGAACAATTTTCTGTCAAAAAATGCTGATTCATTTGACAAATATTTCACTGGAACGTATTGAATTCAGCGATATCTCCTATAAACAAAGCCAATGTTGTTCATTTAAGTTCATTTATATTCAAGCTGAGCAAAGCTATGTGACTTTACTCAAGTAAAACACTTTAAGGTCATGTAGAATTTCCCTATTAAAAAAAAAAACCAAACTAGAAATCTTTCAGAGGAGGTTTTTGATATGCTGAATATTCTTTGCAATTAAAGTGAGGATCCCCACCCCTCCTCTAGCTAAATTTTATCTCAACTATGGTAAATAAAGAATATTTGAAGCCATAAACATATCTTGAGGTAATTGTAGTCACAGGGGTCACTCTTCAAACTAGAACATCACCTTATAGAGGTATAACAATGCTATGCCATTCACTGAAACAAATGAAGTTACTTGCCAGTCATGTCTTGGCTACAGCTCGGTTCTACCTTATCTCTATAGTTATTATCCCACAACAAATCCAACAAGTAATAAGTGGCGATCTGTACACGCTGTGGGAGACCTACAAAGCAAAATGTCAAAAACCTGTTTGAACCAAATGCCTTTTATCTTCCAGCTGAAAGAGGCATTCATCTCATGATACTACTGTTTTGATGGAGCTCTTTTAGGCCAATCTGTAGTCACCTTTGGATCACAGACTTCAGCATTTACAGTATAAACCAACTAGAATTAAGTGGGCCCCTGTGGGAGGATGGCTAAGGTCAGGGATGCCTACACCTTTTCTTCCCCTGCTGTCATGACATAAGTTAAATATTTCAGTAGCATTTCTTTTAAATGTATGAGATTATGTTATTAATAATCACCACATTTATTGGTGATAAATGAAATTATAAGGCTTGGTTTATGCATAGTAACAAAGGGTATATCGTTCCTATGAACTCATATCTGGCTCATCTCACCCTACCTGGTCTACATAGTCAGCCTCTTGGTATTCTTAAACCTTCCTTTTATCAGGTTTTTCTCCTGGATTCCACTACACCTTCCTGCACATGCTAGGCACATGCATAACACCTGCGTAACTGTATCTTAATATAAATAATGGTAGCTGCCTCTCTGAAAACCTAAAAGTCTTGTCTTGCATCCTAATGCAGCTCCATTGCATTATCTGATCACTTTGCAGTAAATAAATAACTTAAGGTCAGTTCTATGACATACAGAAGTGCCAATATCCATATTTTGCAGCTGAGGTGTACTGAGGTAAGAACAGACTGGACTGCTTGCCAGGGACCATGCAGGACGTGTGAGGCAAAGGTGCCTTCGTCCTGAATCTTACACTAGGACCCTGTCTGCTACCTCACAGTGTTATTCTCTTCCCTTACCACTTGCTTCTGCGATTGCCTGCATTCCGCAGGCTGACGTTCTAGTAGGTACCAAACCAGCACATAACAGGAGAAGTCTTCTCAAGGGGCCAGCTGAAGCACAATAGTTTTGTGAAAGCTGTTAACTTTTTGAAAATTAAACCATCTATTTCTCAGGAACAGGTAGCATTGAGATCCCTGTGCTTTGCTTACTGGTAAATGGAGGACCAGGCACACTTGAGGTAAGAAGCCGTTTGCAACTTTAAAAAAAATTAATTAACTGGTGCTAAGTAATTAATGGAAAATTTGGCTGGATAACAAACACATGTATTGCCACTTTGCATAAAGTCAAAATTCATATCTATACACCATTAAGAACTGAATTCTGTTAATATTAAATTTGCCAGTATTTGTTTGAGAGAAATATTTCCTTTTGAACAGGTGCCAGCTGATCACTAAAGCTTCCATTGCCAGCTCATACAGTGGGAAGAAGGCATCCAAAACCAAAACAAACCCACAGAAGCCAGCTCCAAATCTAGCTAAATAGAAATACTGTCCTATTACTTGAGATGACATACAAAAAAAAGATTAATCATTCAGTGCTGTCCAGCAACTGTGAGACAACTGTCTCTGTCACAGAGATCAGAGGAAGTACAAGGCCAGGTTTGCTCGCCATGCCATGTAAAACTACAGTGTCCTAGTTCCACTGAGCAAAAATACATTCTGGGATAGAAGGCTGGAGAATTGTCTGTTAACAATGCCATCTCTTCTTCAGTGAAGGATCAATTTTGATTTTTTTCCTGAGTAGTTCTACAACATAAAGAATCTGTTAACTAGGAGATACTCTTTGATTTCTAGTGTACTTTTACTGGTATTTTATTTTGCTACTTTGTAGCAGCTGGTGCGTCCACACAGCATTTTATAAAAATAATACTCTCAGATGAAAAAGAATACTTTACAGTACCTTGAGAGAGACGTTTAACCATAATTTAAAGTTTCTGAGTGATGATACTCTGCCACACAAGCTGATAACGTCTTCCAGAATAATGACTCATTTCTAGTCATGTTTTCTAGTTTCAGTTTCCAGTCTCTGTATCTTGTCATATCTCTGTCAGCTGGACTAAAACACTAGGCTTTTGTCACCTCTTGAGCTTTCCTTCTAGAAGATAAATATGGCAGTGTTTTCTGTATCTTGGGTGTTGAAAAATCACATATCACTACTTATAAGTCCTCTTTTAAAAGTTTTAGAGAACAAAGTGACTTGGAAACCAAAGGTGACTGACTGGAGCTGCCCTAAATTTACATGCGCTGGGAATGGATACTGCGCTTTTTTAGAATATCATTTTCTTAAATACAAATTGAGTAATATGCACCAAGGACTACAACAGTTGTTAAAAAACAAAACAAATTAAACTAAAAAAATCCACACCCCACCCTAGGCAACAAGCAAATTAATAGTTATATTCTTGAAGTCTCATTAGCTTCTTGCATAACTCCAGAGTAAGAAATACATTGGAAGCAAATAGTCATTACTGCAATTATGATGCCATGGCCTCTGCTTTCCTCTCTCAACAACCTTCCCAACTCATTCTAATCGCACAAGCAATAGAATTATCCACCTTTAACTCTTGTAGTTGCTATGCTTCAGTGGCTTTTTCCTTTGGCCCAATGTCATATACCCACAGGCAAATTCCTGATTTTCAGAATGTATTGCCAGGTTTAGTGCCTGCCTAGAATTTCTGTATAGTGGTCCTCTTGCACTTGACTATGCTGAAACACAAACTGCAGGGGGAAACAAAAAAAGTCAGGCATGAAGAAGTTTTATGCATTGTTTGTCCAAATCAGGCTGCTTAGCTACTCAGCAGATGTGTCATGAAAAGTATAGTGAGGGGCCTATACATGGACGACCTGCTACAGAATCAGGAAAATCCTCATAACTTAGGGGAGTCTGGACTGACTCCATAGTGAGTCTAGTTTAGGTACACATTTAGTCCTAGTTTGCAAGAAATCCTTCATCTGAATAACATTTTTCTTTCCATATATGAATTCTAAAAATGTACTTTTTGAATTACAGAGAATTTGCAGTGGTTTGGAAAATTCTGCTCCCTGGCTTATCTTAGCAGGGTCTGGAGGTACAGCTGACATCCTAGCTGCATTCATGAATGACCCGCAGCTTATCACACCAGAAGCTGTTGAAAAGCAATTTAAGGAAAAATTCCCTTCAGAAAGCTTCTTGAGGAAGGACGTTCTCCAATGGACAGCAACAGTGAGCTCCTATGTTTGATAGTTGCATGCATCATGTTCACAAGCTCTCTCCTACCATTTCTAACTTTGACAGTCCATTCAGTACAGGTTTGACAAGAAGCTACCCAGAAGTTTTGAGTGTTGAAGTGGTCTGGCACTAGTGTCATAGAATACCTCTCTAGCATTAAATTCAAGTGCTCAGTTGATCATACAAACTACTTTGTCCTAGTGATTCAGCTGAACACTTAAGGCTCTGTCTTTCCTCAATTATTTCCTCAAGTAACAGCCAGCACCCAAGAACCCCCCAGTTCTTCTGGAGGACATGAAGCATTATTTATACTCCACAGCTGTGCAGCTTGTGCAGCTGTCAGAGAAGAGACCTAATTCATGATCTACAGCTGTTAAATGGAAACCTAATTGTGGTTAAGCATGAATAAATTAAAAAGAATGAAGGGTGTTTAGAAATTGTCCTATCTATTGTCAGTTATGTGTGTCCTTAACAAAGAAAGACAAAACAGTTTTACAGATTTTCCTTTTTGTCTTGAGGTGCACTTGCTGGACTTAAACCACTATGCACAAGTGTTTAAGAAACAAAAAAATAATTTGACATTGTCTTTATGTTAAGATTGAAGATCTGTGTGCCTTAGATAAATGAAGTCCACTCAACCTGACCCACTACTTATTCTTTGCAGTCCCTGCTGTAATCCTTAACTTTAAGAGTTCCATATATTAATTCCATTAGGGAGAACTTTGCCAGATCACTAACACAAGGGGAATGGAAGGGCATCTAGAAGCAATATTGCAAGATGCTCACAAAGTCTCAGTGCAGCTGCACTTCGAGAAAGAAAACTCAATAAATAGAGAAGCAGAAGGAAAGAGTACTGTATATATCAATATTTGATGACTTTCACTCAAAGAAGATTTAGAAACTATGCTTTTAAATAAAAAACTCTGAGAGCAAAACTTAAATGTCAAAGCAGGAAAAGGTAAAACAAAACCAGTGGTATGCTGGCCACAGCATGACTCTGAGTCAAATAAGAATGTGAGTTAAGGAAGAATCTTTTAATTAAAGCACTGCTTCGGTTCTCAGTATAGCCAAGTTCTGTTCCTCCTATCCTGCTAGGTGATTTTGGGAATGGCAGTAACTCCCTCCTTGCCTTAAGACTTATTTATATATGGGGAAATAATAATGTTTTTCTTCTTGCCAAACCTCAGCTTTACAACTAGAACATAAGTTTTTGGGAAATACCGTATGTGTAATTATGTATGCATTAATACATAGCAGTAGGACAATAGGTAAAATTATTTTTGTTTCAACTCCCAATAGATTCAGAACATTATTTCACATCAACATCTTCTAACTCTGCACAACTTTGAGCAAGATGGCTCAGAAGAACTAGACACAGTCATTTTAAAAGCTTTAGTAAAAGGTAAGAACAATAAACACAGCACAGTGTCATACTTGTCTTGACTTTTTCCTATGCCATAAACTTATTTCATTCTTGTCTACAGCAAGTTCAGTTGACTGTTGGATCAGATTTCATTTCTGATGCAGTTCTGCTTGCTTATTGAGAAATTAACTGTGGCAGTTACCATATCTCTTGTAACCTTGCTTTAATCTCATGCTATCGTATAGTACTATATAAAGTTAAGTAGAAGTTATAGAAGAACTGAAATACACTGCAGCTGTTATTCCAATTACAAGCCATTAAAAAAACCCCACCAAACCAAAAAATGCAAGTAGACCTGAACTGCCTTAGTTCCAGCAACAACCCATTTCTCCTATAAGAAATCTTCTGAAAGAAGACATTACTTCCTCTGCCACCCATTTCAGTTTGTGTTAATGTAATTGTTTGTATTAGCCTAAATTTAGCGTGGGAGAAAAAGAGAGACATTCTATTCCCAATGTGCAAACTTTGTCCCAAAGACAAAAAACAATAGCCAGTCCTGTCCCCCTCTCCTTTGGCAAGCCAGGGCCTCTTAAAATCCTACAGACGTTTAAACTTAATGTTTTAGTAGAGAATTCAGCTAGCAAAAATTACTATTTTTTAAATATTAGTATTTCTTAAGTTAAGAAAAAAAAATACTGTGAAGGGTTCCTGGTTAAGCAACCCACAAATCCATCATAGCTGAAGGAGAGCTTGTATTGCTAATCAAGTTACCAATACTATATTAAATTAAACATAACAAGTGTAATATACTGAGTTTATTTGCATTTCTTATTTTTGCCAGCCTGTAAAAGTCACAGTCAGGAGGCTCAGGAATATCTGGATGAACTGAAGCTGGCAGTGGCCTGGAATAGAGTGGACATAGCTAAAAGTGAAATATTCAACGGTGATGTGGAGTGGAAGGTACCAGGTTTTATTGTCTTAGAGGACAATTTGTGTATAATCCAATGTGTACAGGACACTGGAACATCCTGATAGAAGGCTTCAGTTTTTAACACTACCTGCATTCTCCACTGACAGACTGGGCAGTGGTCGTATTCTTCCTTAGGCTGTTTGTCCTTCTGGTCCCCTATATGATAATGGATAAAGACAGAGGAATAATTCAGTGGTCATGGTCTCTTTCTTGAGCTCTTTGGGGAAAGAATCTTTCCCCTTTCCCTGTTCTGGGGAAACAGGCCTTTAAAGCAAACGAACATGAGCTTACAAAGCAAAAGCAGCATGCAGATATTACCATTAGAAGATGATAGGCAGAATGTCACTGTTTCCAACTGCTGTATAAATACCCAGTGCAGTGGGTACTTAACATCACCACAACTCCTACAGCATGCTATTTGTGTTGATGTTTTAACATTAATGCTTACACAGACATTTTGTCACAGAGAAATGAAGAGAGTTCTACCCCTCTTTCTCATTGTACCCACTGTTGACCTGGTGGAAGACAAAATGTGCGTGTCCTCACGGTAAAGCTTATCTCCCTCCTCATCCATCCATGATTAACCCCCAAAAATGTCTTTTTTTTTTTCCCATCCCTTCATCAATCTAGTCCTGTGACCTGGAAGAAGTGATGATGGATGCTTTGGTCAATGACAAACCAGAATTTGTAAAGTTATTTATTGACAATGGAGCTAACATATCCGAATTCCTGACATACAGTCGTCTGCAGAGACTCTACTGTTCCATTTCTCAGAAATGTCTTCTCTATGAGCTTCTACGGAAGAAACATGAGGAAAGCAAGCTGACCTTGTCAGGGCTCACTGGTCAACAGCATAAGGAGCAGAAAGAGATCTGTCCACTCTTCACTCTTAGTGAGGTCTCTAGAGTTCTCAAGGATTTTCTCCATGATGCCTGCAAAGGTTTCTATCAAGACGTCACACATCGAGGCAAGAAGAAATGTGTGAGTTACAACTTTCCACCACAGTCCAGCTCCCCTCCAATTTAGAATTTGAAAAATTTTAACTAGGTCTAGCCTTTGGGAGCGGGGCAGGGAACATAAGAGAAACAGTCACTTTAGTTTCCCATTCCTTTTTTCAGCACATTATTATTATAGCTAAAATGGTTTGATCTTTTTAATTTCAAAATTAAAAAGGAAAAGAAAGGAATTTCTAAGACCAGTTGTGATTCTTCTTTCTCCCCCTCTGCATGTAGGGTTTTATGCAAGGTTTTACTGTACCTTGAACTAGTGCTAAGATACGGCCTCTATTTCAGGATCTACAGAGGCCCCTGGATCTCACACTCTTCCAGCGCAGCTTCCACAGACCAGTCCTCATTCTAGCACCTTGCACATGGAGAATAGTTTGATCTTAGCCTCACATGTGTATAAACAGATTCAATGAGAGATATATGGGCAATATGAAGAGATATATTTAGGTTTATTAAGGAGTAATTAGACATAAAAATAGCAGTCTGCATTTTTCATACAGAATTTCAAGCAGAAGCACTTGAAAGACAGTATTTTCTAGAAGACAGACAAGCAGGTGATGGCTGTTTTCAATCCCAGGTCTGAAAATGGTAATCTTCGTACGTAAAACTATTCCCAGATTTATACTTTAGGAGTAGATTGTATATTCAAGAATGTGCACTGCACGGTATTTCCCTTTAGATCATTATAGTCTTGTTAATGAGTGACATAACGCACAGCAAGAAATAAGAGTGACTGTGTGAGGTGGTCCTGGCAAGCACCCTGGCCAACACATGACAAGGATAACATGTGATGGGTACCATTGGGGAATGTCTATAGTGCACTGTCCGCAATTGTGCAATAGATATATCATCATTTTTGCATTTTGACAGTGTATTTAACGTTAAAACTCAGAAGTACCAAGTTCTTGCAAAAGCACTGGAAATAAGTTTGGACACATGATTTCAAAACAGAGAGGTATAGAGAAATTTCATTAAAATCAGAGGTTAGACAAACTAAGCAATTAAACATTTTGATATTTGCCAAGTTCTATTTTCATCTTTAAACAGTTTAAACTAAAAAATAAATAATAAAAAAAAATTCTCACTCAAGAGCTTCAATCATTTTTGCTGTGATAAAGCCTAGCTAAATTAATTAGCAGTATAAAAAGCTAAGTTTGAATCTACTCAGGATTTCTTTATTCACAAGAACAGACAATTTGGGGCCATACCTTTGAAGTCATTCAGCAGACTCCAGACTTGCAAATTTTACAGAAAAAAAATTTACCCCCCAAAACTTCACTTACCTTTGTGGGATTTGGCAGCAAGTGAGCTAAAGCCAAGTACTGTAAATAAGGCCCAATTCAGATACCAGAACACACTGCCTACTAGTTTTTTGCTTTTAAAAGCTTCTTCCCATGGCTGCCACCAGTGGCTCAATCCCATTATCATTGGCAACAGAAAAAGCATCACTGTACTGGGATACCAGTGTCACTGGCTGCTAAACTGTGTGTCTTATTTCAAGTTAGGAACTAGTGGTTACAAAGACTGATGAGACTTTTGGATATCTTTGTCTCCTGCAAGGTTTTCAATGCAATTCAGTTGATCAAATAGCTCATTACAATCTAAAGAAAAAAACCACCAACACTCCCAAAATATGCCATTATAACAAATTTGAACAGAATCCTATAGTTTAAGTGATTAAAAAAACATATCCTTACAAGCACTTGTTTTATTAAAAAAAAAATCCACTCTAGCTGCTGCTTCTAATTAACACAATATATATAAAGGCAGTTTTTAAATACACTTGAAACTCAGAACTTGACCTAAGTTGCCATACTTCCTCTGGAGAGTTTTTATTAATCAAAAGCTAAAGGAATAAGCAGTGTTCTACTTAAAATAATCCCTGCATGAGGGAGAGGTTTCTCAAAGGGAAGACTTAAAATGAGGGCATTGACGTACTCTATTCTTGTCCTGTACAGGGCCTGGGCGAGATTTATTTCTGTTGAAATAAAATGCCTTTTGTTCCCTTTTCTCTGAAACCGTGTCCTCTGTGGCAGTTGAGCAGAATCCAATATAACTGAAGGCAAGCTCAGATTAGTTAATCACAGGTTTGTCTTGTATGATATTACACACCAGCGGTGAAACCCTGGTCTTAATAAAGTCAATGAGAGCTTTACCATCGACTTCAATGGAGTCACGGTTTCATCTGGAACATTCTCACACATATTGAGTTATACTGGGGACACAAGGGTCTTTTGATTCAATACAGAATAAACTAATTACCTCTCAGTCCTACAGAAAAGAAAAAGAAAAATCAAAAGAATATGAATTAGCTGTCAAAGCCAAGAGCAGCTTAGACCATGTCATTTGCATGGAATGAGACTGCAAAGCAGGTTTTAATTTCTACAAACTGTATTTCAGGATAAAATGAATACAAAGCGATTACCCGAGTCCCTGGATATGAACCAGAAAAGTGAAAATCCTTGGAGGGATTTGTTTGTATGGGCAGTACTTCAAAACCGGCACAAGATGGCAAACTATTTCTGGGCTATGGTAAGCTTTGAGCCGTAGGGGCTGGAGGTGAAATACTGGCATATTTCAAATATATGAGATGTTCTTTGCTCAGCCTTGCAGCTCAGGTGACAGGTTTGTTTCTAAATGAGATGTGGCATTTATAGGACCTTTCTTCTCCACGTGGCTCACGCCAGCAGGGGCCAGAGGGCCGGGCAGAGAAGGCAGGCTGAGCAGCAGCAGGTGTAAATCCGCACTGCCTGAAACACCGCTGATTAACGAGCGGCGGGGGCGGCCCTCCTCTTCCTCATTGCTGCTGACTCGCCACTCTCGGCCTCAGGTTTTGTTCCTTCCCGCAGGAGGTCAATTGTTTGGGTTCTAGCTCGATCAGAGGGATGACTCTGCAATCCAGCCTCCTCAGCTTACGTGCCGTATGTGTAGCGAACGGCAGCAAGCACGCTCAAAGGCCGAGCTTCAAGCTGGCAGAATTGGCTCCTGTTTTACAACACTCCACAACCGAGGCCTGCTGCTGACTCGCCACTCTCGGCCTCAGGTTTTGTTCCTTCCCGCAGGAGGTCAATTGTTTGGGTTCTAGCTCGATCAGAGGGATGACTCTGCAATCCAGCCTCCTCAGCTTACGTGCCGTATGTGTAGCGAACGGCAGCAAGCACGCTCAAAGGCCGAGCTTCAAGCTGGCAGAATTGGCTCCTGTTTTACAACACTCCACAACCGAGGCCCTGTCTCGTGCATCTGGAGCGCGATGCCACCGCATCCCTCCGCAGCCGGAGCCTGACACAGCTGTCGGGCTCCATCGCTGCGCTCCCAGGCGGCTGCGCCTGGCGCAGGGGGAGTCCCGGGGGGGACGAAGCGCAGCACGGCTCTTCAGCCAGCGGGCGGGTCTGCGGGCGGGCACGGCTGC